TGCCAACCAGGCTGGCCAGACATTCCGCACTCAATACGGGATGTTCTATTGTCCGCCGAGAAAGATCTTGTAACCGGGACAACTTGTCCTGAGGAAGACTCAGAGTCCACCCAATGACCCAAATAACGGAGACCGCGAGTTGGAACTAACTGAGACTTGGTCCAGTTGACCAACAACCCCAACTCCTGAAGCAGTGCCAGAATGACATCCCTCTGCTGGCAGCAAAGCTCCACCGACGAACTCATCAGGAGTAGGTCGTCCAGGTATATCACGACCTTCATGGACCGTAGCCTGAGAGCCGACACTATCGGCTTCATTAATTTTGTAAATACCCTCGGGCTGTTTTCAGGCCAAAGGGCAGCACCTGAAATTCGTAAAGCTGCTTTTCCCAGACGAATCTGAGATATTTCCGGTGGCTCTCGCACACTGGAACCATAAAATAAGCATCTTTCAGGTCGATGGAAATCATCACATCGCCCTGTTGGATGAGATCCTTCACGGTCCTGATCGACTCCATCTTGAAATGCTGAGCCTCCACAAAGTCGTTCAGGTACTTGAGATTGAAAATTGGCCGAAACTCGCCTGAGGCCTTTGGTACGAGAAAAACCGTCGACAGAAACTGGTGGGGAATCGGAGAAACACGCCTTACCGCTCCTTTCACCACCATCTTGGCGATCTCCTTGGAGCATGCCTCCGACATTGCACCAGACATGGAAGGGGGCGTTGGCACGCGCCGTTGCCGAGGGGCCCTTGTGAAAGGGATAATATATCCCCGTACGACCTGCAGGATCCAGGGACCCTGCGACAAACTCGTCCAGGCCCTTATGTGTCCCTTGATGTTTCCTGCATAAGGGACCTGGAAAGGGACGGAAACTACTGGCGAGAAGAGGGGCCCTTGCCCTCTCCCCGCGGAGCCCGAAAAAGCTTCTTCGACTGCTCCCCGCCTTTGGCATTGTAGTGATATAGCTTCCTCCGCCACTCAGAATTCCGTCCACTGTATGATCGCACCTTCCATTCCTTGTTGCCTTTCGTGGCGGCAGGGTATTTAGAACCTGCAGAGGGCTTCGGTGGCTTAGTTTTCGGTTTCTGCTTAACTGCCTTGCTAGTAACTTTAGCTAGCGTGTCCTCCTCTTCCACAATCTCAGACCACTGTTGCGCCGCTCGCACCAAATCTTCCTGAATACTCCAAAGAGTATTGTCCCTTTTCCAACACTCATAGTTGGCCTCCTGCATGGTTGAGCGCAATGGTTTCGGCATGTCTGGAGCCTTAAAATAAGGTTCCGCCTCCGAATTGGGGCCCAACCCAGACAATAACACCTTTTTCTGGTCTTCTGAAAGAATATTGGTGCGCTGCTCCTGCCACCAACTAAGAACCTGAGCGCTATAGGCCACTACTTCATCCTTGTGATGAGGATTAGTCAGAGCCAAAGGCGTCAACACTTCAGGAGGTGGAACACCCCCGTCGTTGTCTGAACACGCCATAACGGACAAGGCATCGTCATCCCTGTCCCTGCGTCCCCGTGGGGACTCCAACAACGCTCGACGCCCCCGGTCAGACTCACTATCAGAAGAACTAGACCGAGATAAACTAGGCCCAGACCGACCAGCTCTACACCTAGATGACTAGACCGGTAGCGAGACCGAGACCGTTACCCAGAGCCCTCCAAAAGGGACGTCCGAGGCTCATCAAACTTAGCGTCCAGACGCTGATCCAGAATGGCCAACTGATAACTATTGAAGCCAATGGGCCCACTCCTAACATGAACCCCTTGGCTAGCATCCGGAGCTCCCTCACGACCGGACAAACCGAGGCGTGAGGGGCTTTCCACATGTGCCCGACTCACTGATGGAAGGCAAACACTATCTAGGCCCACTGCATCTTGACCCACTAAATGGAGGCACGATGAAGCACCCCTCTCCGCATCACGACCCGCAAACGGGAGGCGTGAATTCGCGGCAGAAGGCTGAGCCAATGTAGCCCCAAAATTCGCCGAAACCAAGGCTTCAGGAACACTTTCAGCATCTACGTTCTTAGATGTAGACATAATCTATCTGACAACAAAACCAAAAGCAAAACTACTCACTGTTAACGAAAAGCAAAGCAAAATATACCAATATTTTGATTTGTACCTGTCTATACCGCCGTGCAGTCGTGCAGTTTAGAGAAGAGGACGGTGCAGGATGGGAAGGGTATGGATTTACGCTTTGAAGACTGGTTATACCGCCAAGCGGCTGGGAAACGCCTAGTGATTCGAAACCGAAAGAGGACGCAGTATAATGCTGTTACCTCTTCTAGTTTTCCCCCACCGTTGTATTTAGGTACACCATGGCTGTAAATTGTGATTGTTACAGCATGCACGCAAAGATCATACGCGGCGGATATCCTACGCGGTGGATACCCTACGCGGCGCTATTTACACGATCTTTTGTTACTTTTTCGCCAGTGACGTCATGGTAAAATCGTATATAATCGCCTATAAATTCATAAAAAATAGACAAGAAACGTTTTTAAGGTTGATTCTATTATTAATGGCATATCAAAAATCCACTCTAGAACAAAAACTCATTTTGTTAGTTCTCTTTAAAGCTTATAAATAAATATAGAATACACACAGCATTTTATTTTATTTCATTTATTCTTTCACAATTTATGTGATAAAAATGGTATAATATGTAAATAGTATTTGATTACAATACATTTATACACTCGTATTACACGTATAAGAAACGTTAATTACGATTTCATATAGACGTTTGCTTGATTACAAACATTTAAAAAAATTAAGGTATCATAATAATAATTGGAAGTATCTTCACCAGAAACTGGTTTGGCTTCTGACAATACATAGAATTTATCCCATTTTTTTTTTTTTTTTTTTTTTTTTTTTTTTTGTTGGGTTTTGGCTATTGTATGTTTCATTTCAAACATACTGTTCTAAAAATACTGTATAACAAATGTACAATGACTGACAAAATTGTTTCTATACTCCATAATATATATCTCCAGGACAACCATTTTTTGTCTCTTTAAAATTAATTCATTTATATCTTTAGGCGCCGCTGACAAAATCATTTTATACAGGCACTATACATAGGGGCCTATTTTCCCAAATATATTATTTTAATTTTTATTTATTTATTTATTTTTTTTTATTTATTTATTTTCTCTTCTATTATACAAATTTACATTTTGTAATTATTTTTCTGTAAATACTGTAAATCGAGTGTACACATTGATTAACAGAATATATTCTACACTTAATTCTCCTCATGCCACTTGTGTAGTGGAGTTGTCTTGATTGAGAGAGTGGAAGACGAGCATCTCAACCCCAAAACATGACAGCTTCTTCAACTAGCCTACTGTATTCTAGTGACTGCGTAACACAGTGTTTCCAATATCTTTGATTCATAAGAATGTTCTTCATTCAAGTGAATGTAGTCCAGTTCATTTCCATGAGGAGTCCTAGTCGCCATATAGCGGTGTGGTCCGAATTGCATCCATCCTGATACCAAGTCTGAAATTTAAAACAACAAAAACAAAAAAAACCCTTATAATTATTATATTAAATATGAATTTATCGCCATCACTTTAATACTTAAACACGTTGCATGCTCATCTTTTGGCATAGTATATTAAACTATTGCTGCAATATCATTATTCCAATTCAATTTTTTTCCGGATAATATATAAAAATATATATAACATGGTGAATGCCAAAAGTAAAAGTGACTCTATAACAACATTATGTGAGCAAGTTGAAATAACACAATAAAATTTAGAAGTGCTACTGCTAGTACGATAGTCACCAAATTCTGTTGTTGAATGTTGTTGTTGTTGTTGCTACTGTACTGTTGTTTCATTTTCAACACAAAATATTAAACAAGAATAAACAAAAGCACTGTCGTCATTATATCAGATTATTGTTTTATACCTTATTGTTATTATAATAACTCATGTCTTGTCCATTGGCCTTTTCACCTGCATTATTTTTCCATTGCTATCCTGAACGGCATTTTGTGCAATGCTGTCTTGACCAGCATTTTTGTCCATTACGGTCTTGAACGGCATTTTTGTCCATTGTATTTTTTCTGGCATCTGGCACATTGCCGTTTTCACCGCATTTAAAGTTCACTTCCTTTTTATCAGCATTTTGTCAATTTTGAATTTTGCCGGATTGTGTCCATTACCATTCATCGGCATCTTCGAGTGCACTTTTGTCCATTGATGCTTTCACAGACATTTAGTCCATTGCCGTTTATACCAGCGTTTTTGTCTATTGCCGCGTTTCACTGTATTTTAGTCAAGAGTTTTAATCAGCAGTTTGTCCATTGCCAATTTTGCCAAAATATTGTCGATTGCCGTTTTCAGCGGAATATTTTTTCGTTGACATTTTGCAGGTATTTTGCCATTGCTGCTTTTTACAGGCATTTTAGTCCATTGCCGTTATATCGGCATTTTCGTGTATTGTCGTTTACACTGGCATTGTTGTTCATGACATTTTAAAATGCATGTTTGTCCATTGCCGTTAAATTGGCATTGTTTTGTCTTGTAGTTTTCATCTGCCTTTTATCTGTTGCCGTGTGCACTGCATTTTTAGTCTATAGCGTTGACCATTTTTTTTTAAATTTAATTTCATTTATTTTTTTCTGTCTTTAAATTTATATTATTATCAGTGTTTTATCTATTGCCGTTTTCTTTGCATTTTAATCCATAGGTTTGTCTTCAGCAATTATGTCCATTGCCAATTTCACCAGAATTTTGTCCTTTGTCGTTAAACGGAATATTTTTTCATTAATATTTCACTGGTATTTTTTCAATTGTCGCTTTTACAGGCATTTTAGTCTTTTGCCGGCCGTTTATATCTGCATTTCCATTTATTGTCGTTTACACTGGCATTTTTGTCTATGACGTTTTTCCAAATGCAATTTCGGCAATTGTCGTTTTTATTGGCATCTTTTGTTTATTGTAATTTTTATCAGTGTTTATATCCATTGCCATCTTAATTAGCATTTTTGCTCATTGCAGTTTTTGTGATTTCCTTCGGATTTTTATCCATTGTCGTTTCTGTTTGAATTTTCATGCCATCTTCATTGACATTTTGTCCATTTCTTTTACCCAGCATTTTAGACAGTTGTCGTTTTCTTGTATTCAAGTTGTTCTTTCGGCATTTTTCGGAGGATGTCTCGTTTTTCAGATATGGCACCAAGATACAATGCCTCTCCTTTCTTGGGCCCCACTCTGCTGTCGGACGGCTGATGAATCGAAGGCGCTGTGAGAAAAAAAAAACAATGAAGACGTTATAAATAGTATACTAAACAGCACAGAAATATATACATGTTATTATTATATTCTGTTCCGTTGTAAATAAAATATGCAAGAACTTAAGTCTATTCATAAAGATTTAGGTGTTTTTATTGACAGTAAGTTAAATTTCTGTTATCATGTTAAATATATTGTGTCAAATGCTAGTCGAATGAGGGGTATGATTTGGAGAAATTGTAGGTTTGTGAATGATGGGCATGCTCTAGTTTGCTTGTATAAAACGATTGTTCGTCCACACCTAGAGTACTGTTCTGTTATTATAAACTCGATTTCTCCAAGTCAGGCCCATCGTATTGGTAGAGTACAAAGTAGGTTTTTATATTTTTTTTTATCTAAGACATGTCCCGATTATACTGTAAATATATATTCCTTAAGTAAACGCATATTTGTTTTTGATATGCTGTTATTCTAAAAAACTTTAAATTCTGTATTTGATTGTATCTTTGTATAAATTAAACGTTCCTAGTCTTACTCGTACTAGAAACTTAATTTATGTTCCATTTGGCCGGGTCGACGTAACTAAGAGAGGTATATTTCAAAGATTAGCTGTTACATATAATAATTTAAGTTGTTCTGATGAAATTGATATTTTTTATGATAGTTTATCCTCGTTTAAGCTTAAAATTATGAAGGTTGTTTGATGTAAGTTATTATTTGTCTCCTTCTATATGTATAGGTTTTTCTCCAACCTGTTAGTGGAGGTTTTTATCTCTGTTGGTTGAGAATTAAATAAATTAAAAAATAAAAATGTTTAACAGTATAAGACAACCTGTAGTGAAGTATTATAAAGTGTTTAATCTCTAAAAAACATCTGTCATTGAAATGGTAAAAAACTGAAAGGACTACTATCAAAAAGCTAATAATACTGGTAGTTATTATAATAATAATAATAATAATAATAATAATAATAATAATAATAATAATAATAATAATATGAATTTTATAAAATAATAGTTCAAAACTATGATTCGCCGTTTACCTCAAGAAACGTTCCCGATGCATTCTTGATCTCCACCAAGATGAAGACAGGAGTCAAGATGAAGGTCGAACAAGTAATCGCCCAACCGATGATGTGCGCCCAGCCTGAAAATTCCCCATTGTAAGATGGCGCCACCCAGTTGACGAAGCTGTACAACTGTACCAACTTTTAATATTAAATTGTGTCAGTTAATAAAATAACAACACTGAAATGCAAATTTAAACAATTAGTTTTATGTTAACCAATTAATATTATTTTGAATGCTGCAAAACCAGTATTGTTTATTTTGTATATTTATTTACACATCATCAAACAAGCTGCATGGCCTGAAACTGAAAATTAGCAAGTGCTGTGTTTGACTTCCAGTAGTCAATAATTACTCTTTTAAAGAGAAACTTACCGGTATCTTATTTGATCAATCGTATTATTATACTGTAGGCCTATTCAACTATATTAAAGCAAGAATAAATATTGATAATTATTGATCAAAAGCGCTAGTGAAAATTCAACCAAACTTGACCTCTTTTTAGTGACGTCGTTTAAATTGCCATTTCGGCTGTTCACCAATCAAATATCTTGTTGTTCATTCTCCCCAGTAAACGGAAAGCTGAATATTCATGGATTCTTCTCATATAAAATATATAACTTGAAATTGGATGAAAAAAAATCACCATCAAAACACTAATTCCAATATGAATGAACAATCCTGCCTAGGCATTATGCCCGAAAAAATGCATTGCTTTGTTATAGCCTTCCGCTACCATTGTCAGAAGTCTACAGGCCTTGGCCTTAAAAAAAGAAAAAAAAAAAGAAAAAAAAATTACCTCCAGCGACTTCGTTGTCTTTAAATTGCCATTTCGGCTGTTTACCAATCAAATATCTTGTTGTTCATTCCCCAGTAAACGGAAAGTTGAATATTCATAGATTCTTCTTATATAACACAATCAAATTTAGATGTGCTACTGCTAGTACGATAGTCACCAAATTCTGTTGTTGAATATTGTTGTTGTTGTTGCTACTGTACTGTTGTTTCATTTTCAACACAAAATATTAAACAAGAATAAACAAAAGTACTGTCGTCATTATATCAGATTATTGTTTTATACCTTATTGTTATTATAATAACTTCATGTCTTGTCCATTGCCCTTTTCACCTGCATTATTTTTCCATTGCTATCCTGAACGGCATTTTGTGCAATGCTGTCTTGACCAGCATTTTTGTCCATTACGGTCTTGAACGGCATTTTTGTCCATTGTCTTTTTTCTTGCATCTGGCACATTGCTGTTTTCACCGCATTTAAGGATCACTTCATTTTTATCAGCATTTTGTCAATTTTGAATTTTGCCGGATTGTGTCTATTAGGGGCCTACCATTCATCGGCATCTCCGAGTGCACTTTTGAGATGTGTATAAGAGACAGGTATAACCCATTTTACCGAGTACAAATTTTAAGTTAATAGAACATACTGCTGTTACCTCTTCTAGTTTTGCCCCACCGTTGTATTTAGGTACACCATGGCTGTAAATTGTGATTGTTACAGCATGCACGCAAAGATCATACGCGGCGGATATCCTACGAGGTGGATACCCTACGCGGCGCTATTTACATGATCTTTTGTTACTTTTTCGCCAGTGACGTCATGGTAAAATCGTATATAATCGCCTATAAATTCATAAAAAATAGAAACGTTTTTAAGGTTGATTCTATTATTAATGGCATATCAAAAATCTACTCTAGAACAAAAACTCATTTTGTTAGTTCTCTTTTAAGCTTATAAATAAATATAGAATACACAGCATTTTATTTTGTTTCATTTATTCTTTCACAATTTATGTGATAAAAATGGTATAATATGTAAATAGTATTTGATTCCATGTCAATTTATACACTCGTATTACACGTATAAGCAATGTTAATCACGATTTCATATAGACGTTTGCTTGATTACAAACATCAAAAAAATTAAGGTATCATAATAATAATTGGAAGTATCTTCACCAGAAACTGGTTTGGCTTCTGACAATACATAGAATTTATTATTTTTATTTTTTTTTTTTGCTTTGTTTTGGCTATTGTATGTTTCATTTTAAACATACTGTTCTAAAAATACTGTATAACAAATGTACAATGACTGACAAAATTGTTTCTATACTCCATAGTATATATCTCCAGGACAACCATTTTTTGTCTCTTTAAAATTAATTCATTTATATCTTTAGGCGCCGCTGACAAAATCATTTTCTACAGGCTCTATACATAGGGGCCTATTTTCCCAAGTATATTATTTTAATTTTTATTCATTTATTTATTTTTTTTATTTATTTATTTTCTCTTCTATTTTACAATTTTACATTTTGTAATTATTTTTCTGTAAATAATGTAAATCGAGTGTACACATTGATTAACAGAATATATTCTACTCTTAATTCTCCTCATGCCACTTGTGTAGTGGAATTGTATTGATTGAGAGAGTGGAAGACGAGCATCTCAACCAAAACATCACAGCTTCTTCAACTAGCAACACAGTGTTTCCAATATCTTTGATTCATAAGAATGTTCTTCATTCAAGTGAATGTAGTCCAGTTCATTTCCATGAGGAGTCCTAGTCGCCATATAGCGGTGTGGTCCGAATTGCATCCATCTTGATACCATGTCTGAAATTTAAAACAACAAAAACAAAAAAAACCCTTATAATTATTATATTAAATATGAATTTATCGCCATCACTTTAATACTTAAACACGTTGCATGCTCATCTTTTGGCATAGTATATTAAACTATTGCTGCAATATCATTATTCCAATTCATTTTTTTTTTCAGATAATATATAAAAATATATATAACATGGTGAATGCCAAAAGTAAAAGTGACTCTATAACAACATTATGTGAGCAAGTTGAAATATAACACAATCAAATTTAGATGTGCTACTGCTAGTACGATAGTCACCAAATTCTGTTGTTGAATATTGTTGTTGTTGTTGCTACTGTACTGTTGTTTCATTTTCAACACAAAATATTAAACAAGAATAAACAAAAGTACTGTCGTCATTATATCAGATTATTGTTTTATACCTTATTGTTATTATAATAACTTCATGTCTTGTCCATTGCCCTTTTCACCTGCATTATTTTTCCATTGCTATCCTGAACGGCATTTTGTGCAATGCTGTCTTGACCAGCATTTTTGTCCATTACGGTCTTGAACGGCATTTTTGTCCATTGTCTTTTTTCTTGCATCTGGCACATTGCTGTTTTCACCGCATTTAAGGATCACTTCATTTTTATCAGCATTTTGTCAATTTTGAATTTTGCCGGATTGTGTCTATTAGGGGCCTACCATTCATCGGCATCTCCGAGTGCACTTTTGTCCATTGATGCTTTCACAGACATTTAGTCCATTGCCGTTTATACCAGCGTTTTTGTCTATTGCCGCGTTCCACTGTATTTTAGTCAATAGTTTTAATCAGCAGTTTGTCCATTGCCAATTTTGCCAAAATGTTGTCCATTGCCGTTTTCAGCGGCATTGTTTTTCGTTGACATTTTGCTGGTATTTTGCCATTGCTGCTTTTAACAGGCATTTTAGATAGTCCATTGCCGTTATATCGGCATTTTCGTGTATTGTCGTTTACACTGGCATTGTTGTTCATGACATTTTAAAATGCATGTTTGTCCATTGCCGTTAAATTAGCATTGTTTTGTCTTGTAATTTTTATCTGCCTTTTATCTATTGCCGTGTGCACTGCATTCTTAGTCTATAGCGTTGACCATTTTTTTAATTTTTTTTTATTTTATTTATTTTTTTTTTTGTCTTTAAATTTATATTTTTATCAGTGTTTTATTTATTGCCGTTTTCTTTGTATTTTAATCCATAGGTTTGTCTTCAGCAATTATGTCCATTGCCAATTTCGCCAGAATTTTGTCCATTGCCGTTAAACGAAATATTTCTTCATTAATATATTTCACTGGTATTTTTTCAATTGTCGCTTTTACAGGCGTTTTAGTCTATTGCCGGACGTTTATATCTACATTTCCATTTGTTGTCGTTTACACTGGCATTTTTGTCCATGACGTTTTCAAATGCAATTTCGGCAATTGTCGTTTTTATTGGCATCTTTTGTTTATTGTAATTTTCATCAGTGTTGATATCCATTGCCATCTAAAATTAGCATTTTTGCTCATTGCAGTTTTTGTGATTTCCTTCGGATTTTTATCCATTGTCGTTTCAGTTTAAATTTTCATGCCATCTTCATTGACATTTTGTCCATTTCTTTTACCCAGCATTTTAGACAGTTGTCGTTTTCTTGTATTCAAGTTGTTCTTTCGGCATTTTTGTTCGTATTTTGATTTTTAAGCAGCAACTTGTTAATTTGATACTTCGTATTTAAAAGACAAATCCTGAAATTATAGAACAATATATGATTTGTAATTTAGAACGAAATTCTAAGACAATTTATTGATTTTTTTTTTTTTTTTGGAAATGAAAGTTTTGGACAATTAACATCATAATTTTGATCGCTTATTGGAGTTGGTAAGCCTACTGACCTTTATAGAATGTTATGATTGATTGACATGTGACTTTGAAGCATCTTTTTTTCATTGGCGTTATATCAAAAGCTTTGGCAATACAACTGACTTTTCACGTTACATACCTAACGCATATCCCGGGGGCTTTAGCACCTCACTTCCGGGACGACGCATTACCCTTTAGATCTCGTGTATGAGATCTATCATTTGGGGCGATGACTTTGCAGAAGCAGCTCTGCAGGAGGATGTCTCGTTTTTCAGATATGGCACCAAGTTACGATGCCACTCCTTTCTTGGGCCCCACTCTGCTGTCGGACGGCTGATGAATCGAAGGCGCTGTGAGAAAAAAAAAAACAATGAAGACGTGATAAATAGTACACTAAACAGCACAGAAATATATGAATGTTATTATTATACTCTGTTCCGTTATAAATAAAATATTCAAGAACTTGAGTCAGTCTCTATTCATAAAGATTTAGTAGTTTTTATTGACAGTAAGTTAAATTTCTGTTATTATGTTAAATATATTGTGTCAAATGCTAGTCGAATGATGGGTATGATTTGGAGAAATTTGTAGGTTTGTGAATGATGGGCATGCTCTAGTTTGCTTGTATAAAACGATTGTTCGTCCGCACCTAGAGTACTGTTCTGTTATTATAAACTCGATTTCTCGAAGTCAGGCCCATCGTATTGGTAGAGTACAAAGTAGGTTTTTATATTTTTTTATCTAAGACATGTCCCGATTATACTGTAAATATATATTCCTTAAGTAAACGCAGATTTGTTTTTGATATGCTGTTATTCTAAAAAACTTTAAAATCTGTATTTGATTGTATCTTTGTATAAATTAATCTTGTATCCTTGTTTAACTTAAACGTTCCTAGTCGTACTCGTACTAGAAACTAAATTTATGATCCATTTGGCCGGGTTGACGTAACTAAGAAAGGTATATTTCAAAGATTAGATGTTACATATAATAATTTAAGTTGTTCTGATGAAATTGATATTTTTTATGATAGTTTATCCTCGTTTAAGCTTAAAATTAGTAAGGTTGTTTGATGTTAATTATTATTTGTCTCTTTCTATGTGTATATGTTTTTCTCCAACCTGTTAGTGGAGGTTCTTATCTCTGTTGGTTGAGCAAAACCAGTATTGTTTATTTTGTATATTTATTTACACATCATCAAACAAGCTGCATGGCCTGAAACTGAAAATTAGCAAGTGCTGTGTTTGACTTCCAGTGGTCAATAATTACTCTTTTAAAGAGAAACTTACCGGTATCTTATTTGATCAATCTTATTATTATACTGTAGGCCTATTCAACTATATTAAAGCAAGAATAAATATTGATAATTCAGACATTTTTACCGCGCCAATTCAAATTATCAAAGGCGAAAGTGAAAATTAAACCAAACTTAAAAACTTTAGAAAATAAGGAAGTTTTAAGATACTTCTTAAATACTTAAATTAAGAACTTACATTTGCTGACTGTTTAACAGAAATGGGCAAGGTTTCAGAGATAGATAGAGGTGGGGGAGGGAGTTGAACGTTGACCATAATGCTTCATGTTTTTGTTTAAGTACAGGGGTTTGCAGAAGGTGTTCATCGGTGGAACGGAGTGCCCGTGAGAAAACATAGGGCGTAAGAAACACCAGACAATATGATGGTTGTTAAAATTAGAGCGACTTAAAAACAAGTAAAATTAGTTTAAATATAGGCCTACTTCTTTCTTTAAGAGTGAGTCAATGTAAATCATAAAGAATGGGTTTAATGTGCTGTTGACGGGGAGTAAAGAACTAATTCAGGCAGTAGGTTTGTACAAATTCAGTACATGGGCGTTGGCTGAGGCACGTGGGACGGGGTTAAGCAAAATAGGCCATTGATTTTTTATATAGGCCATTGAATTTTTATTGGCGTAAGATTTTAGTCTGCATTTTGAATTTCGGTACCCCCAATCAGTTACTAGCCTACGTCCCTGCGTTGTCGTTAAGCCAACTGTAAGTATAATATTGTATGATACGAACGGTCAGGACAACAGGGGTAAGGAAGCACCAGCAGACCCGCCAGTAGTTGAAGAACATGCTGTTGACCCTTCTTGCGCCAATCATGATCCCAATGTCTCCCTTGAATCGGTCGTAGCCATACACCCAACATATGACGATGCACTCCATTGTGGCGAAGGTGAGAATGACGAAGCTTGCTGAGTATGAATCCAACAGATTGACCCAGAACACCCCAGCCTGAGAAAGAGAAATAAAACTCCATATTTCTGTGTTAAATACAAAATCTGTGTTATGAATTGAGTTTACTGTTGTATTTAAATGGATGGTGTATTCAAGAAATTGATCATTCGGGACCTATGGTGCTCATATTGTCTTTCCGAGGAATAGGGACAGAAAGAGAGAATGTTGTTTTTGGTTGTGAGAACAATACTAGTTTAAAGGACTGTACACACACCATGAAAAAGAAAGAGGAACATATTATTAACCACCGACCGTAAAGTATTTAAAGGTTTATCGCTATTAAATTCAATAAAATACCATATCTTCAAACATCAATATTTAACAATGGTTACATCACAAACCAAGTTTACCAATATCCTGGATGAAGATGCTATAAAATTATATGCACATAATACATAATAGATTAAATGTTAAATACCAGTCCATAATCAAATTTCATTTTAAATCCATCCTTAGTTTAAATCCTTAACTATATACTTCCAGTGTTTTCTACATACGAAATTATATTCAGAATACCTCTGTGACACAGATGAGGGAAGCAAGAAACATAAAGGAGCAGCTCGCCAGGAGAACTTTTGGTTTTTTCATGCGCAGGTCTGGAAATACATCGGTGATGAAGGTGACTACGGTTTCCATGATGGTGAACTTAAACAGAAACAAATCATAAATTAAAAACCATTGTAATGTTATTATCCTGAAGATGAACGAATTAAATTGAGTATCATTAAACAGTTTTTCTTACTTGTGTGTCCAGGCCCAAAGTCAGCAGCATGAAGAAGAACAAGACAGACCAGACAGGAGCAGCCGGTAGTCTAGTCAGGGCCTCAGGGTAGGCAATGAAGGCAAGACCAAAGCCTAATGAAAATATAAATACAAATTAGGAATTACTTTCAAGTCAACGAATACTGAATCTGGGTCACATATTAGGTGATAATATATTCTTTTGAATTAGCAGCTAAAATTTCATAAAACTTTAATGACATAGTTATTCAGTTTAGGAATAGCTTTAATCTGCATACTTTTAATTATTATAGTTCGGAATCTTGGTCTAGAGGGTAAAGCCGACCTCTTTGTAGTAGGAGGAGGGGTAGAGACATAGGGTAAAATGATAAGAAAAGTTTACCACCGCAGATTAAGACGCGCGTCGTCAGTTATTTAAAAAACATACTTATAGAGGGTGACATACAGCGGGTCCTAGAAGGTCGGCTGATTTTGAGGAGACCCTCTTAGATAGATGAAATATCGTGATGTTTTATCACCTTAGATCTCATTACGAAGCCAGAGAGTGGGTTATGTTTTTTTTAGTCCTGAGAAAACAAATCCTGTACTGTCACAAGTAAGCCAAGACCCTGAGACTGGAAGGCAAGCATCTTCTTAACCAAAATTTCTACTAGAATGAGCAGGATTGCCGTTATGGTTTTATCATCTTATAGAATGTTACAAAAGTGTAGATTTAACCATGAGAAAAAGTAACTTAATATAGACCCATTTATCGATATATCAGTTTCCTCCGCATGGTGTTATCTGAGACCTTAATAACCAGTGGCCTTATACCTTGGTCTACGACTTCACTGACTTCTTTTCCCAACTCATGTGCCATGAATCCGATGATTGAGAAGATTACAAATCCTGCGAACACACTGGTGAGGCAGTTGGCAATGGCAATGAACATTGCGTCGCTATAAGTAATAATAATAATAATAATAATAATAATAATAATAATAATAATAATAATTATTATTATTATTATTATTATTCTGACATTATTATTATTAATAATATAATAATAATAATAATTATTATTATTATTATTATTATGACAAATCACATAATTGTTTTTATGATCATAATGATAAATAGCATAATATAAATAGACATCAATGTAAAATTTATTATAGATAATTTTATTGTTAATATTATTAATGTTATTAATATATTATTATTATCATTAATATTATTATTAGCAATATCATCATCTTCATCATCATAATCACTATCCTCATTATCCTCGACATCATTATCCTCAAATTTATCATCGTCATTATCATCATCATTAGAAATTCGATTGTTTATCAGCAGGTATACTCACAAACAGCAGTTGTTGCGGAACCGGTTGTAGGAGGACAACGTTAGCAACCCACCCCATGATGTGCTCAGGGAAAAGAAGATTTGAACCGCTGCATCCAACCACACCTAACGGAAGTCACGTAAAAGCATATTTAATCCGAAAGATAATTCTGTGGATAATTCATCTGATAAGTGCTTAGTTAGACAGAACGGATACAACTACATTATTATTATAAGATATTACAT